AATTAATTGCAATTTTATGTAATTAGACTACGTATAATATACTTGCTAAGATTATATTAAGTTATTGCATCAAACTTGAGTAATGTAAATGATATGAATGAAAGAAAATTGATTTAATTGCAATTAATTGCAAATATTTCATAACGGTAATTAATTAGGTTTTGATTAATTTTATAATAATTTGAATTGATTTTAATTGTATGAACATATGAGTGCTGCCAAGGGAAAATGTCCCTTCAGACTTTCAATCATATTTTGTACCGGACATAATCTCTAATAAATTAAATAGATTATGTCTGGTACAAAATATAATTGAAAGTCCGAAGGGACATTTTCCCTTGGCAACACTCATATTACAAAATTGCAATTAATTTTCAGTAAGTCTGTTTAAGAGTACCAAATGGTGGTTTTCATTATCTATTCTCTAAATCAATTAATTGGTTAAATAGAACTAATCATTTTAAAATTTTTTTTAACCAATTAATCATTATCTAATTATCTGCATACATTTTTCTTTTTTTTTTTTTTTTTTTTTTTGAAAAAATACAAAAATTAAATTAAATTAACAACTAATAATTGATTACAAAATTCTTACCAACTTATGTCACTATAATTAGGTTTATTACAGAAGTGTGGGAGAGTATAACCCCTCAAACAATCATTAATTGCTGGAGAAAAACTGAAATAGTGCTATCAAATAAGTGGAGTAATCTAAATTGGAATGTAATGAGAAATGAAGAAGCAGACAATGAATCTAATATTAGTAATATAGGAGATGAAGCTAAAATAGCTGAAGTTGAAGCCGAAGTTGAAGCTGAAGCCAAAGTTGAAGTCGAAGCTGAAGTCGAAGTTGAGAATTTTATTTTTGAAATTCTACACAATTATATGCATATAATGTCTGCTAATGATTATATTTGAGTTGATGATGATCTTGAAATCGAAGAGATTGTTCTTGATGAAGCTGCTATTATTGAAGAGGTCCTCTATCAGTCTGATTCCAGTAATAGTGATGAAGAAAGTGATGTTGAAATTGAAAAAATTCTTCATTCAGTTGCCTTAGAACAATGCAGTTCACTAATTCAATATGTAGAACAACAAGAACCTGAAAAATTTGTAAAGGATCAAGATTTACCACAATTGAGAAGTTTGTTAAGACGAATCCGCCTAAATGTATTCAAATCAAAAGAGCAAAAGAAGGTAACCGATTTTTTTTAATAAGAGGTAAGTTAATTTACATTACAAAAACAATCGTAGCAAGGTAGGGGTGAGAATTGATTCTTTAACAATCGTTTTAATCATTAATTAAATTAGAATTGATTCTCATTTCTGAATAAACGATTTATCATAATCATTTTATACAGTATTATCTATTTAGAATCTAATTTAGTAAAAGAATTAATGTTTTTAAAAAGAATAAGGATTATAAATATTCAATACAAGACAAATTGGGATGACCAATAAATCATTCTATAAATATAGTAAGTATAATTTTATACGTATTATCTATAAAATATTTATTTTAAAATTTACTAATAATTAATTTTTATAAATTCATAATAATTTTAGAGTGGAGTTTTTTTTAGCAATTGCTTTTTTCTCCACAATTTTTTTTTATATTTTTTTTTATTTTATATTTTTTTTTTTTGTTATTTTTTGTTATTTTTATATAAAATAAAAATTTAAATTAAATTTATAAATAATGCAATGTATTTTAACATAAATTATTATTTATATAGTCTGTTTTAGGGCATATAACCTGTTATAAATACTAAGGATTCTATTTAATTAAGTTTGGTATAGTGAAACCGGGTACAGCGATGAGTCAGTTACTCAATAATCTTAATCATTGTGTAACCTACAGTTGGCTTATCGAAAAGAGGCATTTAGATTTGGCGAGTTGGTTAGGGTTCCATAGGTAGGTATCTCTATTATCCTGGCTCTTTCTGGTCTTTCCTTTACCTCAGCTATACCACACTACTTCGGGTAAGCTGGACTTGTATACCACAATTACCTCACTACTTCGGGTAATTGGACACAATAACCACAGTTGCTCCTAGTACGTTAAGTTAACAACTGGATGGGTATCTAATTTAACACAGGCAAAGGTTTATTAAGAAAGAATTTATTATAATTTAACTGATATTTTTAGATTGGGTAATTTTAACGAATTTATTATTTATAAGGAATAATTATTATATGTAAGGAGTCAATTAATTATTTAATGAAGCGGGAGGGGAACTTGTCCCTCAACTAGGGCTATTTCGGCCTTTATTTATAATAAAAGCTTATTATATGTACAATCGTACTCTACATCTATGACTATAGCTACCCTACTAACTATGATAACTTC